TGCTGACAACTATCTGAACCAATTCAGTACAATATGTTACAACTAAATATATTCCATTGACACATCAACAGTCATGCATACCGATTGTTGGACATGCTCGTGTTGGTTGGTGTGCATTGATACAAGTTGTCAGAGCCAATCAACAAATCACTATATCTGTACGGATTGTGTACCATGGCATATGTTTGAACAGATATTGCACGAATCACTGTCATTTGGATTGAATAATCAACAAATACCATTGTGACTACACATGTATGCATATCTGAATGGGTTACAACCGAGTGTATTGTATTTCATGACACTCGATTGAAATGTCATGATTGGATATTTTCCAAATAGTAAAATGATATCTTGTAAAATTGTTGAAATGCATTGACTATGGGATTGGATAATCAATTGGATACCACTGCTCACTTTGTTGGTGGTGCACAGCGTTGATCGTTGTATAGTCGAGTATCACAGCACAAATGGTCAGATATCATTGTCTACACTTGAACATATTGAGCGTAATGCAATCATCAATATTGATCAATAAAATGCCATTTATTCTGCAAACAGTTGCTGCAACATGGATTTTATTCAACATTTATACACATCCAATCAATCATACAATAGCTATCAGAATAATCACCAGCACTGTCAAACCGATATGCTTCAGGCTGTTTGCCAATACAAATCAATGCAAACGGATCTGTGTATATACCATGCATGGTAATTGAATGCCAATGCACCACTCGAATTCAATTCAATCCATATCGATTTTATTGTTTGAAATGTTGAATGTTATGATAGATTCAACATTCCCAGTCCAGTTTTACCATTTTGAAACCTGAACTATGACGGACACTCTGTCATACATTGAACACCAAGATTACTGTTGTAAATGCCATCATATTCGATTGTTCAAAAACTGTGGTCGATGTTTGGTACCACAATAAACCCATTGCTAGAAACAAAGTCGATGTTGAGCCATGTCCGATCAATTCTTGGGATATAGTCACATTGATACAGCCAACACCAACATGTCAACCATGTTAACCTGTTGCATGCATAGGGTCACTCACAATACTATTTGACTATCAATGCCAAGCAAATACTATCCAATGGTTTCAATATACATAGCTTGTAGTTGGACACACTCGGTATTTGTATACACATGCTGTAGTTGTATGCATTACACTTGCCGAGTCGTGCATTTGTGCATTTGTTTGATGCAACTGTTGATATTGATTGGGACGACGATCGATGTTTCCGGTTGTGGTTGTAGTGTATGCTATATGACCAGATGTCATGTTATGTGATCATACTGCATACATTACACTAGACAGTGGACTACATGCAAATGATTGATACTGATCATTGCAAGTACACAACAATGCGACAAATGACTGTCAAATCAAATATGGTTGATATGTTGAATTATGGACAGATTTGTTGTATATACTGGATGTGGATGTGAATACAAAACATCGGCTGATACATATTGTATCATTTGATATCAAAACAATGTGATGTGACGTTCAATGTCAGTTTGTAGTATATCAATGGGTTGTGTGCAAAAAGTATGCAAATATTAAACATGGATTTGTGGATACTGTCAAATTGTCAGAACCAGCCGGATCATTTGTATCAAATAGTTCAGTGATACCAATGAATTGGTGTCAAATGTAATGGGTTGATTGGTAACCCAAAATGACAATACACACGGTCGCATGGATCCAGCAATGACACTGCAATGATCAATACAATGCATAGTGGTTGATTGGTGCAATATGATCAAACCATAAATATAATACACATGGTTTGACAATACAGGATGTTTATTGAATGAACGACATTGAATGCATGGCAAGTGACAAGTAAACCAACATGCAATACACGCTGCATTACAACATATTCTAGATGAGACTGTTGATAGTCTACTTTGAACTCCAGCAATGTGACGAGTCTATGATTGAGGAGTTTATTGCTGAGCATCGGAATCTTGTTGTTGAGAATCGGAAGCTTGTTGCTCATTTTCATCCTCCTCCTCTTCATACTCATCAAAACCCTCACCATTATCATCAAAACCATCATTATAATCATCAGGACCATACTCAAAATCACCAAAACCATCAAATTCAGGTTTCATAGCCTGATCCTCGTTGGATTTAAAAGGATTTTCTTGATCACTGTCAGAGTTTGGAGGATCTTCATCATCCTCAAAGTCGGCAAGATCTTGCACATTCACATTCTCGTTTGACCGAGTTTCTTCAGGTTCTGGAGAACTTTCGTTGTTTGCAGGCTCTGGAAGTAGCTTTAGTAACACGGTGTTTACTTGCTTAATGCACTCTGTAAATCCGGGAACGTGATTCAAGAGTGTCACATTACGTCCAGTCAGCACTACATTTGTATCATAACGCACCATGCGATTCACAAGTGCCAATCCAGAGCTTTGCCACCTGTAATGCATATTATAATGCTGCAAAATGAGAGAATCAAATTGGAGTTTGAGACTTCTATAAACGGTAATCTGACGACTAATCTCATTCTCAAGGTCTTCAACCATTGTCCCATAATTTGAAGCGCCATTGTTTTCCCAAGAGTTACTTTTCAAAGTTGCAAGGTGTTTTCTCAGTCGAATTATCAGTTGTCTTCGAGTTTCAATATCCAACTCTATCCGCTTAAACCTTTCAGCCATTCTTTCTGCAATCATTTTATCTCTTGCGTAGGTTTGGATCATAATTACTTCGCTCAACGAAAATGGGTCACAGTTGACTTTTTTTGGGTCAAAAATTGGAATAAGAGTAGATTCAGCACTTGTAGTCGAGCTGGGAATGACTGTTGAAGTGCTAGATTCAGTACTTGTAGTAGCAGTGGTAAGAACCGGGTTGGCGACTGTGATTGAGCAGACAGCCAATATCGATGATAAAACGGTGATTGCGAGTTTCATTATATTGGTTTGGTTGAACGGGGCGTGATAAATGCCATTCAAGAGGTTGGTTTGGTGTCGTATTTGTATCTGCTATTAGTCGAATAATATTAAAAGCATGTTTCCTGGATGATCGTCCTAAGGGATTTGTGTTTTCAGGGTTAGTAACAGCAGTTCACTGTCATTAATATCAAGGCAGCTTTGAAAGAGTCCCTTTATACGATCGTCCGTTGCTTGATTGGAAAGCGTAGCAATCGGAATTAGTGATTTCATGTAGAAATGCTGTGTGGAAACATCATAATGCGGCAAGTATACTGCTTACACCACACATCAAACTGGTTTAGTGATATGCGAGTGTTGCGGTTTGACCAAATCACAATCACCCATATTGTCGACTGTCCAACTCGTTGACATTCAAATCATGCCATCACTAGTCACAATATAATGGTTGACTGACTTGTTTGATTGATCTGACATTGACACTTTGCAAACCTCGACTTGATTCATCAATTTGGATATTCATATAGTATTGGGTTTGTATCATCACGTTGGACTCGTTATCAAACACCTTGATGTGTCCATACAACACAAACTTGATATACACACATTAATTATTGTTTGACATGACTGGGTCGATCATCAATACCAGACAATGCAACTGTATTAGTTGTATGATACAATCGATCATGGTTGACTCATCACCATCAAATATCAAATGTTAATCACGTATACATTGATTTGTAATTGCATGGTCTGTTGGCAATACACACTATGATATGATTGACAAGTTGTTGATTTGCAGTAATCAGATGTGCATCACCTGTAACATTGGATGCAATTGACGAGTTGTAACCGCCAGTCAACAATCATCGATATGTTGGTGATTGTATTGACTACATGATTGGTATTGATTGGTTGTCATGATCGATTGGTGAGCAATACAATCCACATTGATTATGACGTGTCGCAACTAGTTGATACATGCAGACTCGACTGATGATCGAGTATATGTTGATGAGTAACTCTGTCACTGTTGGTTTGGATTGGTCATTGCTACCGTTTGTATATGCAGTGTATTCATATGTGATGTGTTGGATATCGGTGTTGTGTATGTTGTTGAACTTGTTGGACAATATATTGTCATGTCGCATCAAATCGCACTACATTTAGACTGCAATCATTGATTGGTTGGTTTAGTGATTGATTCGACTCACATTCGACTGTAATGGCCACGAATATGCATTGTTGATTGACAGGAATATATCAACATATATCAGACTCGGACATGGTGTATATCAGTTGCATATACCAATCACTGATGCAATTGATGATGATCGATTAGGAGATCAATTTGATATCAACACCAATGTCAGTTCATTACCACATGGATACTTGCAGTTGTGACTTGTATTCAGTCAGTAATATTGAATGTCGTGACTTGATGAGCATGATATGTTGGTCAGCTGTATTACAACACGGTCAATAGCATGCTGGTGACTTGTTGTGCTGTCTGGCTGTATATATGGTGTCGATCAATGTCAGCAGTAATGCATTTTTATTGGTCATGACTTGTGTGTAGTGATCTGAATAACAATGTACTCGATACTTGGATAATCGACCAACATTGTGTGAAAAACCATACTACTCGTCCCAAAATAAATCCCATTTACAATCATTATTTTTAAAGATCACAATGGTTCAATACGATTTTGAAACCGACAGAACAATCGGTTCAATCAAGTATCAGTCTACAACTGCACTGCTGATCAAACTGCATTTGAAAAGCCTAAATAACCCAAACTGGATTGAATCAGTCCCACTGAACAAAGTGGCGAGTATATTTGATATTTGATGGTGATGAACCAACCATGATCGATTGTATCATACAACTAATACAGTTGTATTGTCTGATATTGATGATCAACCCAATCATGTCAAACAGTAACCAATGTGTGTATATCGAGTTTGTGTTGCATGGACACATCAAGGTGTTTGATAACGAGTCCAACGTGATGATACAAACCCAATATTATATGAATATCCAAGTTGATGAGTCAAGTCGAGGCTTGCAAAGTGTCAATGTCAGATCAATCAAACAAGTCAGTCAACCATTATATTGTGACTAGTGATGGCACGGTTTGAATGTCAACGAGTTAGACAGTCGACAATATGTGTGATTGTGATTTGGTCAAATCGCAATACTTGCATATCACTAAACCAGTTTGATGTGTGGTGTAAGCAGTATGCATAAACTCGTTGATATTATGCACTATAACCAATATACATCACACATATGCAGTGGTAAACACCAACGTGCAGTATATCCAGTGATCGTATACTGGCTGACTGGTGCAGTATGATCAAGCTACTGCACTATTGATAAATATGTTTACAGGCAATGGTGTGTACGAGTAATATCTGTGTATTATCACATGGTGACTACAATATACTTTATTGTGATGGGCTACACAACACATTCTTGAAATCACTAGCCCTGATACTACTCTTCCAGCTCCAACAGCGAGCCATTGTATAAAGGGATCCCTTTCTCAGAGTCGCATTCACATGTATAAAGGTGAAACAACATTGATCCTGACAACACTAGTTCCTTAGGGCAGCTACCTAGGGGAGTCTGCTTTTAACATTGCCCACCCAATAATGGATATAAATACGATCCAACATCGAACTGTTGAATGACATTTACAACAACTTGCTCAACCAAACCAGTATAATGAAACTATCAATCACCATACTATCATCGATCCTGGCTGTTTGCTCAGTCACGGTCGCCAATCCAGTCGATCCCAGTTCGACCATGAGTGCTGAAGCTAGTGCTTCGACAGCTTCTCCTGACGTGGCTATAGCTAGTGGGTCTGGTTTTACAATTCCTTTAAATCCGTATATGGCTGATTGTCATCCAATTACGTTTGAAGGAATACAGATGATCAGGAGCTATGCGGATAGTAAACATGGCTTCGACAACGCAAAGAAACAGCGCATCTTGAAAAAGCAGGAGATTATAAATCAAAAAAAAAGGATAAAGGGGCTAAAAGAACAACTCGACTATTTGTTAGATCAAGCTAAGGATTCCCCTGGCTCTGAAGATCTCGATGAGGGTTTTCACAGTATTTCATCAAAGTATGTTAGACGGCTTAGGGCTCTTGAAAAGGAGTTGAAGAAATTCTCGAAAAAGCTTGAAGAGATGCGAAAGGTATTGGCTGTCTTGAAATCGGAGCTTTATGACTATCTCGTGAAACATGATACGACAGGGTTGGTGGCTGCTGGTAGCACTGTAGACCTGAAGTCAATTCCCGGATTTGACAAATGCTTCGACTATTTCTACAATCGCTCATTACAGCGATCGCCACAATCTGGGCATGGCTCTGCTAAAGCAATCAGACTTTAATGTTGGCATACATTATTTGTGTGTTTATCTGTGCTACACCTATACTTGTAGTACGTAAGCGTAGTCACCACTGATGATGACATAGTGCTTAGGGACCTTGAACAATGATGTTTAAGATGTGCCATCATATCGTTCTTAGATTACTCCACTACTTTCTCTTGTAAAAAGATCGAATTCTTCTGATTAATAAAACATCCTTTGAACACAACCTAAAAACCTTTCAAATAATTCTATAACAATCTATCAAGTTCAACTCTCTATTCTGTTGATTTTGACTTGGTGACAACTTCCTTATTATCGTCCAAGTTCTTTCCTGACCGATCTTTTCTACAGCGACAGACTATATTATATTTTACTAATTGAAAGACAGTATTTTTCTCTATTTTCTATTTCTATTTTTTACGATAAAACCTAAATTCATTAATAACTGATATACACTATGTTCGAGTCTGATACATGTTGATATATGCGTGTCAATCAGCAATACAGATTTGTGGCCATTACAGTTGAATGTGAGTCGAATCAATCACTAAACCAACCAATCAATGATTGCAGTCTAAATGTGGTGCGATTTGATGCGACATGACAATATATTGTCCAACAAGTTCAACAACATACACAACACCGATATCCAATACATCACACATGAATACACTGCATATACAAGCGGTAGTAATGACCGATCAAAACCAACAATGACAGAGTTACCCACCAACATATACTCGATCATCAGTCGAGTCTGCATATATCAACTAGTTGCAACACGTCATAATCAATGTGGATTGTATTGTCCACCAATCGATCATGACAGCTAATCCATACCAATCATGTAGTCAATACAATCACCAACATATCCATGACTGTTGACTTGCGGTTACAACTCGTCAATTGTATCCAATGTTACAGGTGATGCACATCTGATTACTGCAAATCAACAACCTGTCAAGCATATCATAGTGTGTATTTCCAACGGACCATGCAATTACAAATCAATGTATACGTGATCAACATTTGATATTTGATGGTGATGAGTCAACCATGATCGATTGTATCATACAACTAATACAGTTGCATTGTCTGGTATTGATGATCGACCCAATCATGTCAAACAATAACCAATGTGTGTATATCAAGTTTGTGTTGCATGGACACATCAAGGTGTTTGATAACGAGTCCAACGTGATGATACAAACCCAATATTATATGAATATCCAAGTTGATGAATCAAGTCGAGGTTTGCAAAGTGTCAATGTCAGATCAATCAAACAAGTCAGTCAACCATTATATTGTGACTAGTGATGGCATGATTTGAATGTCAACGAGTTAGACAGTCGATGATATGGGTGATTGTGATTTGGTCAAACCGCAACACTCGCATATCACTAAACCAGTTTGATGTGTGGTGTAAGCAGTATGCATAAACTCGTTGATATTATGCACTATAACCAATATACACCACACATACTACTGTATTGGTGACAAATGTGTTTGCACAACAATAGTGCGTGTGAATAACTGAACCATCATGTATCAGTCATGGTACTCGCAGCGATATACCATATTGCACTCTTGACATTGCTTTCCAGTTTCAACACAACCATCATAAAGATTCAAGTTGAGATTTGATCCAAAACATCCAAAATGAGATCAGATTGTTAATTTAGCAAAAACTACAGCACTCAGTATTCCCGTGTGGTCCCCCACCACAGTACTGACTGAGCCATCACAAGCTTGACTTCGGAGATCGAACGGGATCCGGTATTTTCTTGTGTGTATGGCCGTAGATGTTGACTGAAACCAATTATACGGTAATATTCGTTAGGTGTGTTTGTCAAATACATTGTGGTTTGGTGTCAGCACTTGTAAATCAATATTGCATGACATTCTCATCACCAATGATCATCTGTTTTATATTGGATCTGAACATTGACAACTACACGTTTGGTGATTGACAATCATATGGACAACCAGATGATTCCATGACACCGCATATCAAACTTGATGTTCAATACTCCAATCATGTCAATAATAGTTGAACATTGTGTAGTTGCTGTTGAAATGCCATTGTTCTTTTAATAATAATATTCAAGAAATAAAGTCTAGTGCTGGATTGTTGAATATTCAACTCTTCAAGCTTTACTTTTATTTGATTAGCCATCTCAAGAACAATGTCACTCCAAGATCAAACTAAAGAATTAACAATCGACTTGCCCACCTGTAATTACAACGTATTCAGTCATCAATGTTTGAACTATTCTGGCGAGGCTTTTGATTCGAGTCGTCTGAAACTTTTTCAAAATGGAAACCAGAAATCTGTGTCGATCACCTTGATAATCAACCAGTGCCTATTAAACCTCATTTTATTGAAGAGCTGGAAAGACCATTCTACTGTTGCTCACTTGGTTCAACTTACAAGACTGACACTCCTCGTTTTGACACTACTCCTGTTGACAAACTCCACTTGCCTGATGGGTTGATAGATCTGCTTTTGATAAAGACTATTTCGTTTCTTCTGGAGCAACTGACACAACTCTTGATCCATGCTGTCCTCTTACTCGACTAAATGGTCTTGTTTTAAACGACCTACATCCACTCATCAAATCCAAGAGTGATGCTAGTCAAGGTATTGCTAATGTAATACCAAGAGCGCAAATGGATGTGGATATCCTGCTTTGGATCCCATGGTGCACTATACTTTAGTCTGACTTGTTTCCGTTGTTTGGATCTGCCAATGATGGGTATTTGAAATACTTTGAACCCAAGACTCTATTGGTAGGGATGAGATAGTCTAGCAAACCAACAATACCATTCGAATGCGCCAACAAGACAAGTACCAAACCATCATGACCAGTACCAGCAGAGGAATGAGACTTTTGATGAAATGTGTTGCAACTCGAAATGTCGGATCTTGAATGTGGTTTGATTGGAGATGTTTTGGAATATGAATTTTAGCTTTTGATTTTGCTGGACTATTTCGGCATTCGCAGTGCCAAACCAAGAGAATATTTCGACTTTCTTCACTCGTCTAATAATTTACTTTTGTACTGTCTTTTTCAAGAGACTGAAGTTGATGCAATACAATTTGAGCTGATCAGCCAATTTGGATATATTGGCACTTTTCAGGAGAAACAACTTGCTTTCCAAACATGACTGTCCAATATTGCTTTTAAAGTCCAGTGTGATTCTCCACCTGTATTCTTGTTGGATGAGATTCAAGAGTTGTGTCAATGCACCAATGTTCAATCAATGTTTCAACAGGATCAAGCAGTTTATCATTCATTCATGTCTCTACTTGTTACTCAATTGATTGGAAAACAAACCCCGTTTGTATGTGTACAGGAACAAACAACGACAGTATCATATCAATTACAGAAAAATTCAAACCCATTGCAAAGATCCGCTCACTCGGTACTCTTGATGCAGAAACGGACTAGACTTTATTTTGGACACAAATGACTGAATATTTGAACTTTAAACAAACAGAAAAGATGACTTGTTCCTCTAGTTCATTAATTGCTTGTCTGGTATATGCTTCATATCAAATTCCAAGGTTACTTTTTGCGCATTTCGCTTGATTGGATCACGATCGCAATCAGTAGTTTAAAAATACGAGGAATTGACTGTAGTATACCATGTAGAAATGACGAGTTTTTTGAGTGACCATGGATTGACTGTGAAGGATATGTGTCTCATTCCTATGTCTTGCAGTGTTGATTGGAAAGTTGAAAGTGTGGATGATACTGTTTCCAGTACAACGACTCAATAGAATCTCGTTCAATTGTCTCTTGTGTTTCCTTGTTCGGATGATTGTTGTTTTCATTTCATCTAGTATGGGAACAAAAACTCGCAGTACGAGTAAAAACGTATTTATGGTAGAGCCAGAATCGGAATTCAAGACGAGTGTTTTTTGTTGGTCAAGGGTATCAATATTGAACGCTTGTTCCATTCATATGACCAACTTTATCCAAACGATGTTTACGATATTGGAATTTGCTACGAAACAATAGTTGCTTGCAGTTTAGCTGTCAAATACTATTTACAAAGTCTTTAGTAATCATAATCTTGTCCCTTTATCAGGAATCATTCGAGTCGATTCAAGTCAGTGCTTATAACATCGTGAAACAGTATCAGACTGATTTTCAGAGTGAATGTATTTACCAGACAAAAAGGCTTTAACGAGTTGTATTGATTTCCCAAAAGCTGATCCATAAGAAACACAATGTCCATTACGATATAATTTACCAGCCATGCCAAATGTCACGCAAGTGAACATTATGGTACAATATAAGCTTTGATATATCCCAGGAGAAAATTAGAGAATCAACTAGTCATTTCAAAAGATAAGAGTGCTCTTGACGATCAACAGTTGTTTTGGTTTTATTGAGCAAAGTAACCAAAAACAATACACAAAAGCAGTATTCTTGAATGGAAGCAGATGCTGTAATGGAATGGAATGATCCTAAAGTTGTTTGAATTGGTTGAAATCAAAGGCTGATTGAAAATAAACAGTCAGGAGTTCGCATGATCATTCAAGTCATGTATATCAAGTATGAATTTGGCATGGAAAGTTACCAATTTACACACTACTAATGCATAGTTTGGTTCGAATGAATTTATCTACTGTTTTATCAATGCAGCAACTCTTTGCACTTTATATGTTTTGGATGTTTATCAAACTGAAAGGAAAGAGTTGTACATCTTGTAGATAAATGAAATACTTCACAACTACTCAAGATTTGATTGATTATCCGAGTAATGGTTCGAATGGACTTTGTTTTAGGCAAATATTGAAATGAGTAGTGATATTCGCCGAGATGAATGCAAATATGTCTCATGAAAGTGCTTCATTTGTAAATCAATAATGAACCCAGGCGACTTGAACAACCGCTAATCACAGGATGTGCAAGTTTAGAGGATTCAACAAAACCAAACAAGCTCATCAAGACTCTTGTTTTTTCTTGTGGAAAAGCTGAGTTCAAGTTAAAGGATTTGAATAGCTTGCAGTCCAACGTAGCAGTTTTTTCAATAAAATGGTGCTGATGATGAGAAGGAATGGCATTAGATGGCGAGCGCAGTGTTTTTCCAGAAATCATGCAGGTAGATTGCTATTTGTTCATTTTGATGTATCAAGTGCAAACATATTGGTATTGAATTCGTTCAAAACAGTAAAAATGCTACTTGAAATCAGAGCCAACATCGGTACCGTCAGTCACAAAAAACTAGTGACCATCAGAAATAAAGTGCAAGAAAATGAATTGGTTCATTGCCTAGTAGTAAAAGCGAATTCTCCAGCTTGCTCAGACCTGAAATGTGACTTTCTTTTCAACTCAGCTCTTTGACAATCTTTTGGAATCAGTAAATCAGATAATTTCCAAACGAATTTGATACAATCCTTTAAAATTGTCGACTTTTAACAAGAATGCCATTGTCAATTTTACAGCAAACACAATGGAATATCTTGCAAGCAAAATACACTTTGCATTGAACCAAACATTCTTATTTAAATAGTTTTTAATTTGTAGGTTTGCTGATTTAGTATTGAGATGCTTGATTCTTGAGCATTCTTTCAAAATAACATTAAGTTTTTTTATTGCTTTTTTATTACTTTTTTTGGCAATGTAGTTTTCTATCTGGTTCAATTTGTATCGTTTCCAATGGGAACTTGTTAGGATTACGGTATAAGGTTGATAGAATTGTTGAGTAAATGAGACAGGAAATCTTCAATGGACGTAGTTTAATGCTATCCAAGATGGTACATTTCATGGAGATAATCAAATAGTCACAGATTAACCAGAGTAGTATAGATAAGGCACTGGATGATACCAGTTTTCTTGACCAGTATTTACAGCTCAATTTGCTTGCAAGTTGTCAAATATAACAATTTATCGGAGATAGGCAATCAAGGTCAAAAACAATGGTATAGAGCACTGGATACATTATAAGTTTGAATTATCAGGAACTTTCACTGCCATACTCATACCAACGCTTTATGTAAAACATCTTTGATGAATGTATATGGAACTATCAAGAGTGGGACCCATGAGTTGTTTGATGAATTGTAAAAGTTGATATTTCCTGTACCAAAATATAGCCCGAGATAATCGAGACTTTTGTGCCAAACTCTTTTCAATATTTTAACCAGGATATAAGTTTATTTTAATGCTGTAGTGGCCAGAATTCTTTACAGATGGCATCCATTTTCAGTTTGATGAACTTTCCCAAACAAATATCAAAATGTCAGGCCAAAATACACATAATTCTACAATGCTCTCTCGCTTGATACCCCAATGGTGTCTGTAGAAGCAACGATCAATTCAGAGTGTGCAGGGCTCAAAACACTGCTTGCCGAATACTTTTCTGAAGTAAATATGCTTGCTAAAATCCGAGATACAGACTCTGGAATCACAGCAGTAACAATACAGGGACATCCGAAAGCGGTGTCCCCTTCTATGGAATACCTTAAGGATCTTTTGCTCATCGGTTATGATGCTGCCATTGTATGGGGAAAAAGAGTATTGTTGAAAAAGAAAATAGACTTTCTTCAGTCACCATTGAAGACACTCCAGAAAAACTGAAACGAGACCCATCATCTGAAGAATTTCTAGAGAAGCATTTTGAAGAGATCTCCTTTGGTGGTTCTGCTGCAACTGAAAACTTGAAAAAAGTCGCCAGAGAAACATTCGCTAGTATGATAAATACTACAGGTTTTGGTGTTGCAGAGGGATGGATTCCAGTTGTCAAAGAAAAGCACATTTCAATCAAATACAAAGGAAGAGCATTTGACCTGGAAGTTTCCTCTATGCAATCTCTTTCTGAAGTCATATCAACAGCTGATTCATTTTTTCTCAGCCTGTGCCTTTCAAAATGTTGTACCGATTTGCAGATAATGACTTTATAGTTGTTACCGATGTCAAAAACTTGCGTGATGGATTCTTGTACTATGCCCTAACCGTCAACGAAGAGCTTCCCAAGAAACAAGTTGTAGATCACAATCTGAATATAAAGCATTTCTTTGACAAGATGAAAATTGAACGAAAAAGACCCGAATTTGATATCATCAAGCTCAGAGAAACCTTTACCGAACAAGGAATTCTTTTTGAAGATTTGATGGAGACTGGTGACTTGGCCATAACTGATACTGAATTAGAAAAGTATGGAATTGCTCAAGGAGGGCTAAGAACAGCCATTCTTGCAGTCATCAAAAGTATTATTCAATGAATACTTTTCAAAATGATTATTTTATGATTTAGCTTTCTGTTGATCAGAAACAGAGTCAATAGCAGCACAACCTCCTGCAGCCATTGGTGCGTGAAGTGCACCGACTCCAGCAACGACAGTTTCAAAAGTTGACATTGCGACAGGTACAAGTGCACTTTCAATTAGTTCAAGATACCATTTCAGCAGTTTAGTAGCAAACATCATTGTCTCACCAAACATACTTTCAACTAATCTGTTACTTTTGTAATTGAGTTTGACATGTGCCTGTGTCAAAGCTTAAATCATTGCATGTAATCTCAACATTCTTGAAAATAGGAGGCATTCCAACAAAATATTCCTTTAAATGCTCAGGAACAGCAATATCACATTCTATCATTCCAAAGAACGTGTTATCCAAGACATCTTTCAGAATATCGGGATAAACTTGAACTACTTGGTGCTCACCACACGGCATATCTTGACTTATCGCCCACAGATATAAAGCATTGGTATCATATCCAAGTATTCACTGACAAAGTTTTCTTTTTCTAATTCTGGTCGTCTTTTTCTTGATAATGATGAAATACGATACTTGGACCACCAACCAGATTATCTCTGTATTTGTGTGCCAGAGATATTTCAGAGTGAGTCTAGGAACAAAGATGCCGTTTTTGTGGATATCAAGATTCAACGACTGAAAGAAATTACCCAGCTTCTTTGTCGCTTCTACGCTTGGCTTCACATCCAAATTGTTGTAGTCGATCAGCAAATCGCACAGGTTGGTGTGAGTGAATACCATTTCATTGTAATCGTTTGATGAAACTGATTCTCCCTTTAGATTGTTGTAAAACCACTTTTTGGATGGAATAGGTGAGTGTTTTAAGAACTTGAATGACATTATCAGAATATTGTGTCAACTTTGGATGTTCATCAATGTATTTCGATAAATTCCGAGTTACTTTATGTGGAAATATTCCCATTTGTGATTGTGTGTCAAACGTTTTCAAGAACTTGTCAAATAAAGTATTTGGTGGTTGAAAAGCAAGAATGTCTTTAAAAGCAAACGATCCATTTGATATCATTCGGTATTTGTTACATTTAATAATGTCATTCACTTGACCGTTTTCAGCTGAATGAAACTCACAACCCCAAATTGATCTTGTGGTATATCCCATTGTTTGAGAGCTGATTCCTTGTTTGCTGTCTTTTCATACAATATGTTCATCGTATCTCCAGCTAAAGGATTGATATCTTCTGATTTGTGACACTTTCTGCATCAGTGGAAAAAGCATCCCAGAAAGTCATAGATTGTGTTTGATTCTTCATCGTAGCCATCAACATTGTATCGTTCAATCTTTTCGCTTTGTTCAATATTACGATCTAATTCTCCTTCAATTGAATTAACCCAAGGCTTTTCGCATTTGGATACATTTCCATGTTTTTTAGAGTGTTTCAAGACTTGTGGAGGGTATTTCTTGATGATGTTAATGTCATATGATGAGCTACTGAAGCCATAAATAGGAAGAACACCAAGCCATTCAAGTAATTGTAATCTTAATCGTTTCTGAACCTTTGCATCGTCCAAATTGGCCATTATTCCAAAGAACCGAGAATACTTTGAATACAACAATTGCAGATATTTGTGTCGTATTTGATCCATTTTTGTCATCACTATATCCAAAGCTTCTTCAGTTGTACCTTCAACTGGGATGAATTGAGCCTTGTTTTCTTCACTTCCAATGAAACTTGTGCTCAAAAGTTTGTGTGTTTCAATGAATGAGCTTCAAGTTGGTCGTAGATTTGACTGGTTTCAACCAAGTTTCAAAATCAAAGTAGATGAAATATGGATAAAATCTCATTTCTTTCGGTATATTAATTCCATTCAATTCAAGATGCTCAAATACATTCAACTTTGGTTGATAATTTCCATTTTCAAATATTATCTTTGGTTTTGCACAAACAACCGAGTGTCGTTTTATCTTTTTGAATTCACTAAAGGATGAATGACATCTGGACATTGAAACACTGGTTAACTGAGACAAGTTAATAATGGAGGAGAAATGATGGAATTTATGGCTTATATCAGAGTATATATTCAAATTAATAACCTCCTGTATTCTTTACCTGAATGTCGTTCCATAACCGCTTTCTTTCCATCAAATCGGTATATGTTGACAGTTACAAAGAAATGGCTTTCAATCTCTTTCAATTCTTGAATATCAAGTTTGGGATAACACTTCTTTACGTTGGTTTTGTAATAATCCTTGTAAAGATCTTTCGCTTTCTTTGATAATCTGTCTAATCTGATTTCTGGATACTTATAACGAGCAAAACAATACCAAAAACAAAGGTTATTTGTGACATACTAGAATGAAACAATACTCTTGCTATTCTTGATGAAATCAGGTAGAATTACAGATGCGCCTATTGATACCTCTGGAATGGGTGTTGTTAAAAGTACATATTCGTAGATATTTTCAATACTCCATTTGGAGTTTGAACACTTCAATTTTTCCAGTATATCATCACCATCCAATTGGTTTAGTACCGTATCAATAGTGGAATTAACTAGTGGTGAATCATTGATATTAAAGCAGGTATTATCAGAGGGATAAAACTGAACTCTATCATCAGTTTCAATGTTCCTCAGCACATATCCGAATTGAATATTGAACCAGTATCTTAATGCTTGCTTTTTGTGATTCTCTTTGATGGTAAACTTCAATTCATCTAAAGTTGTAAACAAGTGTCTCGACCAATGAATTGGTTTTGATTTTGGTCAGAACGAATATTTCTTGATATGATATTGTGAAAACAACCGTTGTTCTTGTCCAGCTCTCTCTCTGTTTGTCTTGTAACTGTAAAAGTTGGTGATAGGCTTTAGCATCGTGCATTCCACTGAAGATCCCTTGAATGTGCTTTCTGAATCTTAGTTTAACCTTTCTAGCCCGTCCGACATCCAGATTTGTAATTGAACTAATCAATTGTTTATACTAGTTTTCTCTTTCGTCTTGTATTTAATAGCAAATCGATATCTCTCGATACCATTTACTTCAAAAAGAACCTTGTACAGACCAACTGTGCTGTCATTTCCTTTAATCAACACTGCATTTTCATTCAAATGAATTTGGGTTTCTTCCAATATGTTTGACATTTCCAATGAACTTGTTTATCATTTTAAAAGAAATTAAATATTCAATTTTATCTTGGATTAAACTTATCAACTATCTATGATAGTGGCTGTGATTGAATATTGCATCTTTTATTTTCTAGACTAGATTTAAACAATATGTTGAATTTAGCTTGCTCAAATCCGAGATCAAAGTACATCAACAATTTACTAACGGACACAATTTATCTCGATCCAAGAAATAATCATATCTATCAAGTTGTTGAAAAGCGTGTCAATAATTCGCTGTTGAAAGTAGCGTATAATTACGTTGGAAATGAAGAAGCGGTTGTGTTAGATGATGTTCCGGATTCAGTGTTTAGACTAGAAAACCCAATCGAGGTTAATCCATCGAAACTATTAAAAGGCAGAATATTGTTTTTGAAAGAAAAATGCCAATCTATTATGCGGCATCAACATAAATCACTATAAAAGAATTAAAGAAATGATAGGCGATAGTTGCTATGAAACAAACGATACCACTTATTCACTACATTATGGGTTAGTTGTTCCTTTCAAAAAGCATTATCCAACTTGTGACAATGCGAAGGTTAATCTAGAAATGATGGGTTATCGAATCTTTGCAAACATAAAGATGCTGCCAAGAGTCATCGAGAAACAGCAATCATTACAGGAAAAGTTGTACAGAATTGTTATGAGTGGTGATGATTCTAATTCAGATGATGTGAAAGAAATTATCATGTAAACTATTCATCTTCAATGCCACTGTTGTATCCAGTAGTTGTTGGAAGAATCGATCGATTCCATCCTGCTCTCTTTGGAATTAGTTTTTGGATAAAACAGCAAGTCAATAACTTCAATGGAAATGGTTGGCTTCAACATATTTGATTCATTTTGTTTTATGGACATAGTTGTATATCTGCCAAACACTTTGATCAGGAAGCTAATACGTTATGTCAGTTTGTGTGGTATCGTTGGTCAAGTGTGTTATATCGACCTCGTAATTGCTATCATTTGTTGTTTAATGGTTTTCTCAAGGAGCTTATTGTGGAACGATCGTGTGGTTCTAAACTGAGCACAATAACCTTTTCGTCGACATTTCTTGGAGCATGTCATACAGACAAAATGAGTTGCGTTGAAGCATTGAATTAATCGTGTGATTACTGTAGAAAAGTATATTGGACATTGCGTGTTTTCATCAAGTCAAAGTGTGACGTTAATCTCATTCTTACTGTTTAATACAAATAATGAAGAAATAATTGAAATTAAGTTGATAATTCAATGAAAACTATTGGTATTCTCCATTACCACTCTTATTTGCTCGAATTCATCGAGAAACGCAGGGGGCCACTAGGTTAGCTTCATCAAAGATAAGATGATCCATTTAAGTATTGGTATGAGTCTGGCACAGAGAGCTCCTAATATTTCAAACTTTAATACTATCCACTGTAATACCCTAAAGTTTTTGACCTGAATTGCTCATCTCCGATAACTTTCTTATTTTGACAACTTTGGACAAAATTCACTGTTAGTTATCGGTCAAGAAAACTGGTATCATCCGGTGCCTTATCTATACTACTTGGGACCAAGCATTTCCGAACAAGATTGGCAAGATATAATCGATAAACCCGATCCAGGCATTCCGGAAGACTGGAAAGACTTGATTGATGCAATCAATTCAAAAAAATCCAACCAAGATCAGCATCAACCAATGGATCAATCCAGTCCAGGTACTTCTAACAAATACTGGAAACCAACATTTGATATAATTAACCCAAATATTCCCAGTCAAGACCCAATTGATGAATCTGGTTCAGGCACTCCCGACAAATACTCGAAACAACCAATTGATCAGCCTGGTTCGAATACTTTCGAACAAGAACAGCAACAATCAATGGACGAAGATAAGTCGGGAAATACTGCTCCAAGTCAAGTGACTGGATTACGCCAAAGATATCAGAGAACCTTTAATCGTATAAAGCAAAGGCTTGAACAGTGTAAAGAATTACGAAAGAAAAAACGGCAAGAATATCGTGATTGTCTAGCTCTTAAATCCAAACAACAGTTAGCAAACGAAGAAGAGATATCTGGATCAAAGTACAATCCAGACACTGAAAATCAATTGAAACAAGAGTGTAGAGTGGCAAACCAAAAAATAGCCAGTGTCAGACAAGACTTGAAAAGGTTTATGAAAAGGCGTGGTTTAGAATTTCAAAAACTGAGTTCAGATTGATGATGTGTCGATGGATTTGATTTTGAATAAATTTAAACTTTCTGGTGTGTTGATATTTGTCGGGTATTGTGAATGGGTCAACAACCATATCACTGATTGAATACTGTATGCTTGTGTATACTGTGTTTGGTATTACATCAACAGTTAATGGATTGTTGATTGATACATTGACACGGTTTGTTTCATATACATCAATGACATGATAACAACCAGTGTTATTTGTAACTATCAGTCATACTTGCAATCACTTGTCAGTTTATGGTTGCATGATACCACCAACCGACCATGTCGTGCATTGTACAACAAACGGAACAATACACCCGTTCAAATTCTGTCACAAGCAAAAGGTGTTTGCCATGTCACTGTCACTGTTGGAAATCACAACAGATAATGTTTGATTGAAGGATTTAACACGCCATTACAAAACATCATTGCCTTTTATCAAGAATATACTAAAACTAACCAATACGTTAATGCCTTGCAAGATATTGTGTTTGACTACAATCGCATCCATCATTGTGCAGTTGGTGATATTGCTGAATCAAGATATGAAAGTGATCCATCAAGTGGTTCAATTAAAACAAACACTGCAAACTATTCAATCAATGTTGGAAATTGTGTTGGAATACTGAATGGACAACACTTTGAGTAAAATACAAGTCAATATACAGTAATGCTGTGTATACTATGTATACTGTGGTTAGTGGAAATGATTACTCGTATCCAATTTCAGATGATGATCAAATAATTCAGACTTGCAAGTATTATGAATTTGAACACATCCAAATTGCTGAAACGTTTGTTACTGAATCTAGAAACCCAGATCCAACAATGACAAATAAGCAGCGTCAAAACAGAAATCAATTGTATGCATTATCAACAATTAGTGAACCTGAAAACAACAAAACATATGACATATGACAGGACATTTCAAACAACTTGTTTTCTAGAGCAACTATAAATGCCATTCATTGACTCGATCAAAAACTACACCAATTACTTGCAATGCATCAAAATTTGACATCCATATCCAGTTCAACAACAAGAAGCGTCAAACAAGTGGTATCATGATTGCTATTCACAACAACAAGCAAATTGGACAACAGCGCTGTCGCAACTATTATGCTTCAAACTCGGAATCAGAAACGATGCAACTGAAAAAAGTACAAAAAGCCTAGTAAAAACCTAAAGCTATTAATATTCATGTATTAGCTATTAAAATAGAAGAAATTCAAATGCTTTTTGATGTTACACAACTAATTGACAGTGTTGAAAATTGCGTACAACTTGTTTTGGTAAAAATCGGAAGACATTTGCTTGAAACAAGACAGTGCATTAAAATTACAGAGATTAAAAATGCTGATAAAATACTGTACTGACTGTAGCGTTTACTATCAGATGATCTGTTATATTTCAAAATGATGTTTTTTGGAGTCAGTAATGTTACATTTCAAAACTTGAGTTTATTTATTTTATTAATTCAGTATGTTTAATATCTTTAAAGATGATTGATTTTTGTAATTTGACGAGTTGATGAGCTTGAAACCCCTATTTACAGATGGTTTGATTACAATCAAGTTAATTAAAGTTTAAAATATCTTGAAGAATGATATTTCTCTGTGATGTTTTTGAATACAATTGACGATCTTTAGAGTTGCCGTTCCACATTTCAAGTTTTTTGCACTTTCAATCAGCTCGTAATGTCTTTGCTTTAATTTTTAATGTTTTTAAAGTGTCTTTAAAGGCTGCATATTTACATATGTTTTGCTTTTGATACAATTATCTTTGGCAGATGTCGATACACGCAGATGAAGTTGGTACGCACTGTATTGTTTTTGGTTCACTTCCAATAGAAAATAAATAGTATTGTCACAAAATACCTGCTTGATGGTTTCTGGAATACGTGTCATGATAAAAATTTCCATATCAACCATTTCTCAAAGACTTGATTTTCATTGCATTCATTCAAATCCAAGTCCACAGAAGTGATAATCTGCTTGTTCAAACTGATCATTGTTTATATTCTTTTGAATTTAAAAAATATTCAATTTTTTTATTTCTATTTAGAATCCTTCATATCTCAAGTTTCATATGGACAAAATCAAAGATGTTAGATCCAATTGTCATGTCTGAACCTAGAATCCTTTTTCGATTGCCTAATTGTGAACAGGACCACAAAATCAACCATCTAATTGGATAAACGCAAAACCAGCTGCTACCAGAACCATTAACTGTTCAAAGGGTATCTTCTGGTCTTTGTTACCATTTAAAGATGACGACAATGAATTGCCAAGTGATGCTATTTCATCATCTTGCGGCTGTTTAGTCAGAGGAAGTGGATCAACTGTCATTAAAGTGTTTGAAGGGTTAACAATTGTGTCCCTCGTGCGGTTTCACGACAGGTTTGACACGTTGAACCTTTTCAGTCAACCATGTTCTAACACAATTGGTATGGTACCAATGGTGACGAGATGGAAAAGTAATTCAATCATTTTCATCAAAGTTGCTTTGGCAGATGGCACAAAATTGCACTCAAGAATTGGCAGATTTGAACAAATATCAATGAATGCTGCTGTTGGATTCTTTTTTAAACATAATTCCATCATCACCCTGATGATCGTTGATTACTGTAACTGTCGTAGTTATGAAAGGCAGTTGGTATGGTTTGTCAGAAGTAACGAAACCGAATGTTCGCCAAAGGCAGGTTAATACACTCGCGTTTTAAAGTATCATCCAATCATAGAAATATGTTTACGTAGCTCATTGAAAAACAAAGTGCTATGCCTAAATCTAGAATATGTAGATAAAAGTCAATAATAGCTTTGTACCACTGAAAAGTCTTAGAGAGTTGGTAATCACAATAATGAATTAGGCAAGCTACAAAATACTATGACCCAAGTCAACCAACCGACCATATGCAAGCCTATTCAAAATTTCGACTGAAACTGATGCTGATATAGGTTTTTTACCTGAAAGATATAGATCACTTGACAGTGTGTAATTTCAATGCTTGTCAATTAATAGTCTTTTTATCGATTGATAGATGCTGAAGCTGCAATAGGTGTCGTACAAAGACGGTAAATTAGGTCAAGCCCTTTCTTGACATAATTTTTGGCATTCGACTGATACTCTTTCAAGACAATGATCCATTTTCATCAATAAAAACAAATTTACATATGGAGCCGGTAGAATGAATGCCGTAAACACAAAGATTTTTCATTCCAGTGTGCTTTCTGCAATAATCAATGAGCGCACATTCCCCGATGCATTGCAAAAATGTAATTGGCAGACCTCTTGTGTGACTGTCATGCTAGATTGCGATCAAGGACAATGACAGGTTTTTAATTTAAAATCAATTGTTTGAATTATACTCAGTTGCCTTTTAATGAAGACAGGTAATTTCTTGTTGTGGTGTCTTGCGAATTGTTGTTTTGTTATAATAGCATTACTTTTACAATAGTTGGTAAACTGATTTGCTTGATCAGATCATTCATTTCCGTCCTGTTTCAGAAATTAGAAAATATTTGAGATTTAAAAGGATAAAAATAAATGAATACAAACAATTCATGAGGACCCAAACAAATATATGGCCTTTGGAAATGCTTTTAATGTGTGGTTGATTGTCTTGAGACTTGGATTAAAGGTCTAGAATTTATCTCATTCGCTAAACAACATTGCATAGATTTTTCCAGTGATATCGACAAAAGAATATGTACTAGATTCACCTCTAGACAACAATTTGATGAAACACTTCTTCAATTCAATCTTTTCATTAAGATTACGCAAAAAATTACACTGCATATAATTGGTAACAACTCCATAGACCAGATCCAAATGACCAATTTTTGCTGCAACCTCACATTCAAGTAAAATTTAAACCATTTTTGACGCATATCATTCTTTGCTTCAACAATGTAAACTTTTTTATCACCACGATGCAAGACAGATTCAAAATAATTGGTAGCCTTTAAAAAATCTTCATCCAAATCTTCATTTACTTGAATTTGAACACCTTCATTGAAAAAGAAACATACAAGTGATGATTGATACAATCAAATGAAATTTGAGACCTTTTGCCTAAAGTAACAGGACCAAAACATTTTATAGCAAACAAAAAATATTGTGAGAGAATATTAAATTGGATATCTGGAATTGCCTTGATGACTAAACTTAAGAAGTTGTTCGTGGCACATTTTTAACTCGATTTCACATAAAATAGTCAGTTTCCCCTAACTTCTTTTTGTTTTTTCAATTTCATCGTTTTCCATCTTTTTTCCCGTTTACTGAAGAGCTTTTAACTGAATCCAGACAAAGAGCAATACCTTGAGCAGAACTGTTTGAAATATTGATATAAAAAAGTATTTGCGACATTTGGGCTGGAATAGAATTGTCTGATCGCAAAAGAGTACCGCCAGTAGTAGAAAGAGAAAGTTGAGCAAGAGCGTAAGAGTCCAAAAAAGATGAAGTCTTTTTTTGAAAGCCTTGAGAAAGTCGTCAACATTCCAACACTTTTCAGTATGGGCTTGAGTAGCACTACTGATTTTAAACTTGACCCAACGTTTTGTCGTTTGTGAACAAATTTTTTTAGTTTACCAACAAAAATGTCACCTCTACTTTATCAAAATGCCAACAAACTCATATATTTGTGCTATTAGGCTTGGGAAATGCCGAGTATGGTACAGCAGCAGAAATTCGATAGTGCCATTACAGCTGTTGATTTGGATTTGTTGGTTAAAGATATTGGGAATCCTAAGCTTTGGATGTAGCAGCCATCGCTTGCTTATCTTCACGTTGTGATGGGTTTGTACCATTCACTATATGTTTGTGTTCGAATATATCGTTGATCAAGTCTATTTGCAAGTCTATGAAAGAAAATGCAATGAACTCGTCTAATTCCTTGCTGTCTCGCAAGATGTTGGGGATCTAGGAGTTTTGCATGGTGGCTTGTTTGAAAGACACGCTCATGTAGTTATTTTCGATGAAGCATTTCAAATCTGTAAATTACTTGATTCCTATTTGAAAGACTTGTCAGTAGTATGTATAGAGCACCGAATGATACCAGTTTTTTGGCGAGAGTCCGCTGAAATTTGATGAGATTTCATCTACCAGAGTGTTGACAGAAATTTGGTAATTAGAATTGAGATTAAATTTCAAGCAAATAAGATATTTATTATGACATACTACTTTTCAATCTTGGCCTTTTTGTTTTGAATCGGAACCTTTGGCTCAAAGCAGCTTCTGAGTCGAGTCAGCGAGTCAGTAGTCATTGTGTCGGTCAAATCCTCGCTGGACGCACGGGGAGAGACAGACTTGATGGCAGTCATAAACCAAGTGAACCAGCAAAGTATTTCAGAGAGAGATGTGCTTGTCTTGTATGTTCTGTCATTGCCAAGTTTCAATAGATGAATGGTGGAAGCATACACTATCCCGTCAGTATCAATCGCAAAGAAGCGAAAGAGAGTCCCATTGGTGAGGACAGCAAGCACTGGAGTGTTCTTTCCAGCAGCCAATCGCTTTTTCAGTAGGCATCCGGCTTTAGCAAGGACTTGAGGTACTGCGCTATCGAGCCATTCTTTCTTTGCCTCCACTACCAGGAAAAAGATGTCTGTAACTTTTGCAACTGGCAATTGCGACGATCCAAACATATATTGCACATCGCCAGTGTAGCTGATCTCGGCCCCTTCACAGACACCATTGACTTCACAGAATCCAAAAAGGAATCGGCTCGATAGCGCACTACCTGAAGTCCCTGCTAAAGCCGGCTGCCCACTGAAAAAGCGATTGGCTGCTGGAAAGAACACTCCAGTGCTTGCTGTCCTCACCA